ATCTCACTAGGGATCTATTCTACAGATAGACCCACACACATACAAATTGGCAATTGTGAGGTTATTCTTCATATTCTTTGTCATAACAAAATATTGAAAGCCATCCAATTGCCATCAGTGGGCCAAGTTGCATACGCCACTCCATACTCATCTCCCAGATCTATTAGGCCAAAAAAAAAAAAAAAAGCGAGACACAAAAAAGTGTGGGTTTATGATGTAATAAAAAATCAATAGTAGGTCTTTGCCCCCAATTCCTGGCACAGAGAACCTAAAACCTTCAGAATTGATTATCTTTTGTATGCTAATGAGATGACTGAGTCTGGGGCCCCTATACATCAATCACTAGCTGTTTAATCAATGATGTTTGTAATGAAATCTTGATAAAAACCCCTAATGGGGCTTGGGAATTTCTAAATTGGTGAGTAAATTAATGTGCTGAGCAGGCGGTGGGCTTGGAGAGGGCATGGAAGGTCTGGCCCCTTTGACGCCTCCTCCCCCAGTAACCTGCTCTCTGCTTCTCTCCCACTTGGCTGTTCCTTAGTTGTAGCCTTGATAATAAAGCTAAAATCAGAAACAGAGAACTTTCCTGAGGTCTGTGAGTCATTCCAGCGAGTTATCCAACCTGATCGGGGGCAAGGGTTGGGGGAACTGATACATTTGCCGCCAGCCGGGCCCATGTGCTGGCGTCGGCAGGGGGCAGTCCTGTGGGACGGAGCCCTTCACTGGTGACCTGAGGCTCACCGGGTGGAGTGTCAAAACTGAATTGAGTTGTTGGCCACCTGCCTGGTGTCAGAGAATGGGTGTAGAAAACGGCATATATTTGTTGTTCAGGAAACAAAGTACGCTCTTGGTGTACTAGGGAAAAGCGGCACCAGGGAACAGTCACGCAGGGCTGTATGCAAGCTTCTGCGTGAGAAGCAGAGAGGAGCAGGACTGCATGTTGCTATGTCCCTGTGTTTTCACGATGAGACAGTGGGAGGATAGACCAGGAAGCAATAAATGTGGTGACCTAGAGCAGGGCGGGCAGAGGCAGGGAGGGGCAGGACTTCCTCTGTCTAACGTTCTTGTAGCGTTCATCTTGAATCAGGTAGGAGTGCCACCTCCATCCTCTTTCTGGGCTGTACACACCCAAGGGCAGGATAACCAAAGGGGACATGTGTCCCGAGGGCCACAGGGAGGGAGAAGTGGAGACGACGAGGTGAGTGCCCCCCGGGAGATGAGCAAAGCAGGAGCCCTGAGAAGGGTCTGGTGCTCCTACGGGGGTGCAAGCCCTGCCAACATGCGGGGCCGGACTCGGCCCTGCTGGCCCTTGACAATCATGTACATCGCTAGGAACTGGCATTAAGTAGCTTCACTTTGGCGGAGACGGGGGAAGAAGCGGGGACGGGGAGGAAGGAGAAGGGAAGGAGGAAGGAACAGAGTGGAGGCGGCAATTTCATGTTCATTAAACACCTCCTCTGTCCCACGGGACGCTTCCTCTCCGACATGAAGTGTTAATGCCTCTGCCTCTCCCATTTATCCCCCCACCTCTTGTCACTCGCTCAGAGCTGCATTGTTCTGGAAGGATGAATGAGGCGTGCCTCGAACAGGGCGCTGCCTTCATTCATTCGGGTCCCTGACAGTTCCTGGTTTTCTCAATTTCCCTGCACTGAAAACCACTCAGATCCCGACAATTCTGAGTGCTCCTGCCAGCAAAGAATAAAGGAATTGCATATTCAGTGACTGCAGGACCCGTGGGTTTATAATGGTCTGAATAACAGGTAACTCGATCTCTCTGAAGCGTTGAGATAGTTAAGAGTCATATAAAAGAATTTTGGGATTTAGAGAATATCTGTCTTCTGGGGTAAAAAGTAATTATCCTGACAATTTTGATAAATCAAATTCTATTACTTTGAGGAACATTCTAAGTTCAAAGATGTGCTTCCATGCAAAACTTTTAGTAACAATAGGAGCTGGTGACTAGTTCGAGGCAAATTTTGCAGAGTGGAAAGCTTTGTCCTGTGCCTTCAGGGTTTCAAAACGTTTGCTGCATCCCATCGTCTCTTTCCATTTAACCCTGGGATGGAGCTGTGGGGCAGGCAAGGCGGGCTTCCCCCTCCTTTTATAAGTGATGACACTGAGGCTCAGTTGAAGGCCTGTCCCCATCGGGGATTTGGTGGCAAAGCCAGGTCTCTAGACTCAACAGCCCTTTCTGCCAGGGCTCACAGGGTGCAGCCTGGGCAGGTGAGGGCCTCGTGCTCTGCGGGCCCATGTTTGGTTCAGTGCTGTGCTGTCACTATCTTGAAATCCTCAGTACTTTGAGCCAGGAGCCCTGTGTTTGCTTTCTGCACAGAGCCCTGAAAATCCTGTTGCCGGTCCTGCTCGCAGCTCCATGGACTCCCCTCTGGCCTCCACCCAGATCCCAGCAACGCCAGCACGTCTGGGACCAGATTCCTGGAACTGCCCAGCTCCCTCCCTGGCATTGGGGTCTGCGGGGTCTGTCGGCTCTGGGTCCCAGGCCCTGACCAGGCCTTCCGTAAACACGGCAGTCCTGACCGGTTTGGCTCAGTGGATAGAGCATCAACCTGTGGACTGAAGGGTCCCAGGTTCGATTCCGGTCAAGGGCATGTACCTTGGTTGCGGGCACATCCCCAGTAGGGGGTGTGCAGGAGGCAGCTGATCGATGTTTCTCTCTCATCGATGTTTCTGACTCTATCCCTCTCCCTTCCACTCTGTAAAAAAAAAAAATCAATAATATTTATTTAAAAAACAAAACAAAACAAAAAAACATGGCAGCTTCTCGTGCAGCTTCGCCTCCTGCAGAATAAATTAGTGCCTGTCTCCATCAGTTCATCAAAGTCAAAATCCTCTAAAATGAGTTCAATTAAATCAAGAGGCTCTTGGGTTTTCTCAGATTCAACATGATGAACCCACTCAGAATACTGGGTTCCTCTCTGCTCTTTAGCTGGGGCTCTCTGTCCAATTCCCTGCCCCTGATGGTCTCCGGTTCTTGACTGAAAAGAAAGGAAAAAGAGAAAGAGGGAGGGAGGGGGGAAGGGATGGGGGACGGACAGGCTAAAATGAAGAAAACCCCCTCCTTCCTGACACTCCGAACTCCCAGAGATGTCTTCCAAGTCTCGAAGGCTTAAGAACATTGCAATTGGTAAAGAAGATCTAATAAAATGTGGTCACTCCTGGCTACTAATTATCAGGAACTGTGAGCAGCAGAGCGCAACAAAATGCCCCCGAGAGCCAAAGAGGTCGCCTCGGCTGCTGGCCGTGCTATTCGCTCTGGGGCCTGTCCTGGACCTGCTGGCCCTCACGGGCCCAGGAGAGAAAGCCCCGCATCCTATGAGGTGGACGGTGGTGCCGGGGGAGCAGCCAGCTCTCTCCCCACACTGTCTCCTCCCGACCACCTTGAAAGCTTTATTTCCCTCGGATGGCCCCCAAATCCTTCTCCAGCCTTCGTATTCAGGCAGCCCCTCGCTCGTCTGGCTCCACATGTGACTGTAGATGGAGTCTACTTCCTGAACGCTAACAGCCTCCGTCCTCCCCGAGGTCCAGGGAACGCTGATGCAGACCCAGCATATAACACCAGCGAGAAAAACCCACAAATCTGAGGAAACATTGAGACGTTTTTATTATGCATTCGGCAGTATTTCGTGAGTTTAGCACAATGCATGGAATTCTCGCCCAGATAGTCTTGCCACTGAGCCAAACAGTGAGCTGCATTTTAAAAATGTAATTCAAACGCCAAGGAACATGAGCTTGGGTTCAGAACACAATGTAAAATCTCTCTATGTAGAGCAGCTTCCTTTGAACAGCCGCATAAAGCACTCGGAGGAGAGGAGAGCTGCACAATAAATAATTGCTTCTCCACACCATCCAGGAGCCGGCCAGCGAACCGTCCCTCCATTTCCGGGGGCTGGACATTCACCTCCACTCCTGTCAGAACCCAGGGCACTCAGAGAGAATTGACATTTGGTCAAGGCCAACAACGCTCTGGCACTCATCCCCCTAAACTCCCCCAGGTCGGGACCTCAGCACACACCCCAGTGCCAGTCCTCACGTCTGCCGTGGAGGGGAGGCAGGTGGCCTGGCCCCCGGAGGGGCTCACACCCAATCACATGCTCAGACGCAGTCACCTCAGCCTGGCTGGGACTGCGCAGATGAACAAGACGGGGAGCCTTCGGGCGGGAGTCACAATTCCCAGTTGTTCCCAATCATACAGATAAATAGGACTTTACATAATTTACAAATAGTTTGTGTTCGGTGCTTATTTTGAAGCCATTTTCTGAAGACCCACATTTATTCATGAAAGCAAACACGGGATTCACCTAATGGCCTTGACCCGGGGCGGCTTCCCAGCAGCTTCCTGCAGACAAGTTCATGGCGCACGCTGCTGCTCCTCCCCAGGCCACCCCTCCCAGCTAACCAGTCTCTCCTTGTCACAAACATCAAGGCTTCTTTTTCCATTTCCTTCTTCTTCTTCAAGCACAGCTGGACATGTCTGTCTAAGTCTTACAAGCCTCCAACTCCTCGAGTCCTGTGCAGCTAGCACTGAATCTACAGCAGCCCCTCCTGGTGCCGGCACACAGCTCCGCCCTGCACATCCTGCTCTACATTAGGATCCTAGTGTGTGGCAGCAGCTACGAGATGGACATGTGTTTACCTGCAAACAGGGTTATCTTGGAGTGACTGACTCGCCAAGAGGAGTCAAGTCGAAATGTGCCAGACCTCTCCAAACCCTCTCCAGCAGGAAGGCCCCGGAGGGTGCCGGCCCAGGGCACATCTGGGATCACTGTCCCCAGAGGGAAACGGCTGTTTGGATGGGGGTTCTTGGGGAAGGATGTACTGTTTAGGTGAGGACCCTCTGGGTGGGTTTTCTCCCCCAGGCAGGACTCATTCTTTGTCCTCAAAGAGGCAGAAATGTGAACCATGTCGGGGCAGGAACACGGGCTGGGCAGGCCTCCTGGGGGGCTCCAGAGGCAGCAGGCGGAGGCGGGGCCCACGCCGGGCAAGCCTCCTGGGGGGCTCCAGAGGCAGCAGGCGGAGGCGGGGCCCACACCGGGCAAGCCTGTGATGGTGGAGGTCTAGAGACGGCTCTGTCTGTCTGTCCTTGACTTCAACCTACCTTGGAGAAAGGGGGCAAAAGCAAGAGGAAGAGTGTTACGGAAGGTCTCTTTACTGGCTGAAAAAAGGCAACTTCTCCCCACCCCATGTCTCGCTGTTTCCCCATTTTGAACGGATCCTCCTGGCCAGTGCTTCTCGGCAATTTCAGTGCCGGCCACACGCGGAGGAAGGTGTGACTTTCACACCAGCAGGCACTGCCGCCGGCAGCTCTCCCAGCCTAGTTCCATCTCTGATTAGCACAAGCTCAGGACAGCGCAGCCTCCCCTCTGACAATGTGACTCTGGGGATTACTAACTCAAGTCTTACAAGGAAGTAGGGGCCCTGGTTTATGAGGAAAGACTTTTTCTGCCCCAGTGGAGCTTCTTCCGGGAGCTTTCCAGACCCCGGTGGATACCTGTGCCACCAAAGCAGCAAAGGCAAAGCCATGCTTTTCCTGCGCAGGGTCCTCTTGTGTCCTTGGACACACCCACACATTCCTACCCCAGGACCTTTGCACTTATTGCTTCCTGCCTGATATTCCCTCCCTCTGGTTCACCCCCTCTTTTCCTTCAGGTCTTCATGCCAATGCCCTTGTCCACTCAACCCCAAATTGCAACCTTCCCTAGCATTACCTCTCCCCGTCCTGGTCCCCTGGTCACCTGCACGCATCTCACCCAGTAGTTTATATATTTCTTTGCCGTCTGCTTCCCTCACTATTTAAGCTCCATGAAGGCAGACTCTTTGCCTTGTTCCCTGCTGTGTCTCCAGCATCAAGAACAGTGCCCAGTGCCCGGGGTGTCGCAGGTGCTCAACAATTCTTTGCTGAGCAAATGCATGAGGGGATGTATAAATGATGCAATGGATGGATGGCTTTAATCACATCCCTCCCTTGCCAAGAGGAGTTTGGGTTTGGAGCGAGGAAGAGAAGAGAAGTAAGAATAAAGAGGCAAAACAGGACCAGCTGGGGCCTGACTCATGCTCCCCAGGGACCTCTCTCTGCTGCCTCGGCCCCCCTCCTCCCTCTCCACTTTTATTATGAATGCTGACAGATCCCTCTCTGGGCCACGAGGAGCGATCTGCCACCAATTTGGAAAGCCTCCTGGATACCGAGCATGGTTTAATCTCCCCTTGATCAGTCCCTGTAGGAACCCAAGCCACCTCCAGGCTGTTCCCTGGAACATGAATTACCACCCATTGCAGCCGTGTGGGCGGGTCATCCGACAGATTGACACATACATCCAGTTTGGCTGCAGGAAACCCTGAGGATCTCAGATGAAAAAGACAAGCGGGTACAAAATATAATAAAAGGAATTTGGGAGCCACATACTTCACCTCTATCCTGGGGCAGTGGCTGAAAAGTAAGAAATGTTTTGTTTTGCCCAGCCGGCATGGCTCAGTGGCTGAGCGTTGACCTATGAACCAGGAGGTTATGGTTCGATTCCCCGTCAGGGCACATGCCCGGGTTGCAGGCTCCATCCCCACTGTGGGGTGTGCAGGAGGCAGCTGATCAATGATTCTCTCTCATCATTGATGTTTCTATCAATCTCCTCCCTTCCTCTCTAAAAGCAATAAAAAAATATATATTTTTAAGAAGAAATGTTTTGCTTGTGTTTTTCTATAAGACCTTAGGTTGTGCGGGCCCGGGGAGAGGGGCAAGAGCTCCGAGAGGCAGTGGTCAGCTTGCTTGCTGGGTCCAATGAGCTCCAGGGCTGGACATCACTGTGTTGATACCACAAGGGATGCCAGGGGTCAGCTCTTAAGGTGCAGGGCAGGCTGGTCAGGGGCAGGGCAAGGAGTGGCTGTCCACAGCCCTGGCCTGCTCTGTCCCCAGAGACAACTTACCAAAGGCACCCCTGCCTGCCTGATATGGGGCACCCCACGTGCAGTGAGGTTCCCACTGGCCGCCTCGCAGGCCAGATGCCACCCCCCCCCACGTGCCCTCGACGGTGCGACGCCCGGGAAAGCTGCGTCACCTCCTCGGATGCGGGCCTCTGTCCACCCCGCCGGCCAGCACTGCCTCTCCTTGGTCCGGTTCTTCGGCCCCTGAGTGCCTGTGGAGAGAGAGCTGGTTTAATGAAGCCACCTGAGTTTCCTGTGGCTGGTTTTTCAGTGTCAAGTTATAACTTCCTCTTCCCAGCAGGCATACCGCAGTCAGGGCACAGCCACCCCCCCACACCAGCCAGGTGCCCCGGCCTCACCTGCCCCAGGACCACTGACACCTGGGAATGATTCAAATAGACGGGGCACCGTACCTGCCGACAGCCAGGGTTCCGGTGCAGAAACGCTCACAGGTGGGGTCGTGGCTCGCCGCACAAGCACAGCGCAGCGTCCACTTGGAGGGCTGTGGGCTCCGCGGAAACAGCGCTGTGGACCTCCTGCTGCGGAAGTGTCCTCGGTAGCTGGACAGTCCATAGGGCACAGTCTGTCTGCAAAGCACAGAGCAGTGCCCTGGTCATGGCCATGTCCCAGGACCTGGGTCCACACCCTGCCCCTGCACTTGGGGTTTGAGGTTGCTTCTGGAGTGGACTGTCCACCCCTTATTACCGCTCAACCCCCAGAAAGTGTGCTGGGGCCCCGAGATGGAGAGGTGAGGAGGGCCTGCGGGAGCTAGAGGAGGACATCCCCACATCCTCCTGCAGCCAGGCTTATGGGCGGGAAGTGGGCGGGGGGGGCAGCAGATGCCTCTTGTGGGCACATGGCCCCTGCGGTCTTTCCTAGTCACGGTTTTCGCTGGGTAGTTCCAGTTTCCTTCCTGCACCCAAACCCCAACTCAGACCTGCCCACTGACCCACATGCCGGGCCCAACGATCCCAAAGTGACTCTTTCCTAACCTGCAGCCCGAGGCCAGCCTGGCACCACCCGCCTGTCCTGGAATTTCTTTATTTACTTACTTATTCATTCATTTATTTATTTAATCCTCACTGGAAGATATTTTTCCATTGATTTTTAGAGAAAATGGAAAAGAGAGGAAGAGACAAAGAGAAATATTGATATGGAAGAAACACATCGATTGGTTGCCTCCTGCATGAGTCCAGGCCTGGGAGGAGCCTGCAACCGCGGTACATGCCCTTGCCTGGAATCAAACCCAGGACCCTTCGGTCCGCAGGCTGACACTCCATCCACCGAGCCAAACCGGCCAGGGCCGTCCGGGAGTTTCTTCAGTGCCCACGCCAGCCTTGCCGCCGGCACTGACCGGACAACAGCTATGCGAACATGGCCGCAGAGACGCATCCTGGCCTTGAACGTCACTGCCTCAAAGAGACCAACTTCAGAGCCCCCTTGGTGCCTGTGAGGGCGGCGATGATAGGACCCGCCTCGGGAGCAGGCCTGGGAAGAAAAAGCCTGGGACTGGTTACCAGTTTCGTTTATGGTTGGAGCTGGGAGGAGGTGCCCAGCCATTCAGAACAATAAGGGTGAGACCATTTTCACGCTCGAGCGCACCCACACTGTCCCGTGCAGAGCGGGCCGGGCCGGGCAGCGCCGCGGGGACGCTCAGAGCAGATGCCAGCTCATTAGGACCATTGAACGAGATTTGGAGGATAAATTGCCAACAAGTAGAGGACACTTATGTGGCCCAAAGTCGCTTTTCCAATCTGTCTCAGTTTTCCTGCCAGTCCCCAGCGCGAACCGCCGTGGTTTCTGCGACCCCCCAGGGTCTCACCAATCATCCACCTCAAAGGGGCGTGTGACGTCCTCGCCCCACTGCCAGAGTCAAATCAAATTGAATTGACTTTAATTTGAAACACATGCCATGGAGCCTTGTTGGGATGGTGAGGCCAAGTGGGGGGTGCCCCATCGCGACCTGACACCTGGACCCCGCTGCCTCCCCGCGGGGCTAGGCCCTGCATTATCTGTCGCCCGTGGCAGCTCTCCCTCCGGCCGAGGCTGGCCCAGTGCGGAGCAGCCTGAGCCACCGGCTGGAGAAAGCAGGCAGGGCCCAGTCCTGTTCTGAGCGTCACCTTTGCAAGAAAAACACAATATTTTTCTTCAGGAACGGGAAATGGGGGTGGTGGTGGGGGGGGGGGGCAAACAATGCAGACACTGTTGTGAGGCAGGACTTGGTTCGAGGAGCCTTGTCCCAGTCACGGGGCCACATTAAATCTCCCGGTGCTGACATTCAGCCCAGTCCCCCTTCCTTGGTGAAAGTCACACACAGGAACAACAAAGCTCCCGCCTTCCCATCGACAGCGAGACCTCCTGGAACTGCCCTCAGCGGCCATGCCTTTCTGTGTGTGGAGCTCCATAACCTCAGTGAAAACACTGCATGCAGGGTTTCAGGTAAGAAGCAGGCAATGCGGTCTTTGTTAAGAGAGAGACGCTAGGCCAGTGGTTCTCAACCTTGGCTGCACATTAGAATCACCT